GATAGATAGATAGATAGATAGATAGATAGATAGATAGATAGATAGATAGATAGATAGATAGATAGATAGATAGATAGATAGATAGATAGATAGATAGATAGATAGATAGATAGATAGATATAACTACTTAGATTTTGAAATCAATTTTTGATTTAAATTGTGATTTAAATCAATTTGATTTTTTAAAAAAAAAATCAATGATTTTTATTCACCCTGGCTTGTGGCTCAGCAGATACTCTTGGTCTGTGACTCTTTCCATCCCTCACCCCTGGACATGTTGGCTAGGACTGGTGGCTCTCCAGGAATATGTGGTGGGTGGCATACTTCACCTTCAGGTGAAAACGCTGTTGTTGTCTCCTGACATGGAGAAAACTGGACTTTGGGAGAAGTTTTTCCCCAAAAAACTATAATTCCCAGAACTCCCTATTATTATGCTGGCTGGAAGATTCTGAGAACTGTCATCCAAAAATTGAACTTTCCCCAGTTTCCATGAAAATGTGTTTCCTGCTCTGTGCATTTGCCAATCTCCTTTATCTGTAAAAATCAAAAGTGAGAGAAGACCACCAGTATGGAGAAGACAACTGAGAATAATTGCTAGAAGGACAAGGAAAAGAGTTAAGAGCTTGAAAACATTGACGTTTTCAGAATGGTAATTCCTAGATTGACAAAGGAATTTTGGGAGCTCTAGTACCTTTTCCAAACTTTGCAAAGAAGGAGACTGCTGGAGTTCCCCACACATCTTGGGAGCAGAGGGGAAAACTAGGTAAGATAGTAAGAAGGAAAGGGTTACATCTTTCTCTTCTCTTCTGATATGCTTTGGGGCTAAAAGTCAACACACGCTCTCCTTGATGCCAGGGGCCACATGCTGAAAGTTAAAGTTCTATTTTGAACTTTTTGCAATCTCACTGTCTCATTAGTTTACTGTATTAACCATCTGTCCTGATGAACTGTGGTACCTGAAGAGTGACAAGAAGAAAAAAGACGGCCATCAAGCAGAAGCAGGATACTAAAAATCTCTTCTTCCTGATTGCATTCATGCTGTTGTGTTAAGACAGACAAAGCCCTTGTTGTCCGCTCCTGGTTGTTTAATATACTCTGTGGATAGTCCTACTGTGGCATCCCGTTACGTTCCGGCCCTTCTCTGTTACCACTTCGGATGGGAGAAGAGATGCCATTGAAGGCACTGAACCAGACATCAGTAGATTGCTGAGCATGTACCAGTGCAGGTTCTTGAGCCAAGGACGTCTCGGAAGTGAACGCGTTCAGCTAAATCAAAACATACGGTTTGTTTTAGAAACATTGGTGCAGGTGGGACCCAATCCCCTCCCACCAAAACAAATTTGCATTATGTCAGGTCTGGGGGGGGCATTTTCAGGACATTAATAATAAAAATAATCATGTGTCATCAAGTCAGTTCTGACTTATGATTACCTTTTTCAGGGTTTTCCAGAAAACCACTCAGAGGTGGTTTACCATTCCTTTCTTCTGGGGACGCCCTGGGACTGTGCAGCTTGCCCAAGGCCACACAGGCTGGCTCTTCTCGCCAGAGGCGTGGTGGGGAATCGAACTCCCAACCTTTGGCTCTGCAGTCAGATACCCAAACCAGTGAGCTATCCAGCAAGCTCTGTAGATGTTACTGGACTGCAACCTCTATTAGCCCTCAACAATAAACCCAGTGTTGAGGGATGCTGACTGCTAGGATCAGGAGCAGCTTGTCGTCTGGAATTCCAAAATTCCTCACTGCCCAATCACAAGCTATCCTCAGTTACTCTCTCACAGAATCTGGAACATTACTCGTTTGTTATCTCAGGCTTATATGAAAAGGGGAAAGGGCCCAAACATACTCAGCTATAGCCAATGTTGTGCAATTGTATTCAAGGGCAAGGAGAGAGTAAATTCTGCATTAGAAATCGAATCCAGTAGTCTTGACAAATTCAGCTTTGCTGTTATACAGCAAAAGCAAGTTTCTAGTCCTTATCACTAAAGGAACAGATTTGAAAATGTGTGGATAATAGACTCCTTCAGACAGTTATGAGAAGTGTAATCAATTATACTGTATAATAAATTCCCTTTTATTTGCACAATGTACACAACAAACATAAGGTGAATGCCGAATGTTAGCTGTCTCTACTTTTGTAGAATGTACACACTGCATGGGTTATAACTTCAGATGTACTGAGATCATGGCAGGAAGCATAGATGCAATGGGGTCCAGAATGTGGGACCTGGGACTACCCGATTATCCTTTAAGGAATACACCTGCCCTAATGTTAAGCATAACTACAGTTTATAACACAATGTAATGCAATGTAACATAATGTAATGGGGAACAGACTTTAAAAACAATACATTTCCAATTAGCAAAGTTGCCACATTGTTTTTTAAAAAAAGCTGGGCCTGTCCCCTTGCCTTCAAGAATCTTGATAATTCATTTATTAGTGGGACTCTGTTCTGTGATTTCATGTAAGGACAAAGCAAGATGAAATCTGGATGTAGGTACAGCATTGAGCAACTTGAGAACCTCAGCTTTCCTTCTACAGAGACAAAGCAAGTTCCTAGTCCTTATGGTTCAGGAAAGAGATATGAAAATACAGGGGCAACACACTCGTTTCCTGGAGTATCAGAAGTGTAAGAAACATTGAGTAATGGAACTGTCCCTGACACAACACAAATAACATGTAAAAAATTTCCCCACTCAGCTTTGTAGTGAAGAGCAAAAGGGCAATAAAAGAAAGTTGATGCCCTTAACTAAAAAAATTTGCATATTTCCTATTTTGGTGGTATGTTTTCCTTTTTATTCATAGCCACTGAGTTATTCGTTCTTTACAGAACTAAATGGTCCTTTTCTGAGGGGGGGGGAGAAACCCGCAAAAAATGAGAACTTGCCAGAGAACGGAGAGTCTTGTATTTTTTTCCCCCAATTTAAAACATTACAGCAGCCACCAGTGACTCCTTACATCTTTTGCGGGGCTGTGATATCTTATAGGCTAAAAGATATGACGCTGGAAGATGAGCCCCTCAGGTCGGAAAGCGTCCAACATTCTACTGAGGAAGAGCGGAGGACAAGTACAAGTAGCTCCAGAGCTGATGAAGTGGTTGGGCCAAAGCCAAAAGGACGCTCAGCTGCAGATGCACCTGGAAGTAAAAGGAAAGTCCGATGCTGCAAAGAAAAATAGAGCACAGGAACCTGGAATGTAAGATCTATGAACCTTGGTAAGCTGGATGTCGTCAAATAGGAGATGGTAAGAATAAACATTGACATCCTGAGCATCAGTGAACTAAAATGGACGGGAAAGGGTGAATTCATTTCAGATGATTACCATATCTACTATTGTGGGCAAAAATCCCGTAGAAGAAATGGAGTAGCCTTCATAGTTGACAGAAGAGTGGGAAAAGCTGTACTGGGATACAATCTCAGAAATGATAGAATGATTTCAATACGAATCCAAGGCAGACCTTTCAACATCACAGTAATCCATGTTTATGCACCAACCACCAATGCTGAAGAGGTTGAAATTGACCAATTCTATGAGGACTTACAACAACTCCTAGAACTGACACCAAGGAAAGACATTCTTCTCATTGTAGGGGACTGGAATGCTAAAATAGGGAATCAAGAGATAAAAGGAACAACAGGGAAGTTTGGCCTTGGAGTTCAAAACAAAGCAGGGCAAAGGCTAATAGTTTTGCCAAGAGAACAAGCTGGTCATCACAAACACTCTTTTCTAACAACACAAGAGGTGACTCTACACATGAACAATACCGAAATCAGATTGATTATGTTCTCTGCAGCCAAAGATGGAGACGTTCTATACAGTCAGCAAAAACAAGACCTGGAGCTGATGGTGACTCTGATCATCAGCTTCTTATAGCAAAATTCAAGCTTAGACTGAAGAAAGTAGGAAAAAACCAATGGGCTAGTCAGGTATAATCTAAACCAAATCACCTATGAATACACAGTGGAAGTGAAGGACAAATTTAAGGAACTTGATTTGGTGGACAGAGTGCCTGAAGAACTATGGATGGAGGCTCGTAACACTGTACAGGAGGCAGCAACAAAAAACATCCCAAAGAAAAGGAAATGCAAGAAAGCAAAGTGGCTGTCCAACGAGGCCTTACAAATAGCAGAGAAGAGAAGGTAAACAAACTGCAAGGGAGATAGGGAAAGTTACAGACAATGGAATGCAGACTTCCAAAGAATAGCAAGGAGAGACAAGAGGGCCTTCTTAAATGAACAGTGCAAAGATATAGAGGAAAATAATAGAAAAGGAAAAACCAGATATCTGTTCAAGAAAATTGGAGATATTAAAGGAACATTTTGTGCAAAGATGGACATGATAAAGGACAAAAATGGGAGGGACCTAACAGAAGCGGAATAAATCAAGAAGAGGTGGCAAGAATACACAGAGGAATTATACCAGAAAGATCTGGATGTCCCGGACAACCCAGATAATGTAGTGTTGACCTTGAGCCAGACATCCTGGAGAGGGAAGTTAAGTGGGCCTTAGAAAGCATGGCTAATAACAAGGCCAGTGGAGGTGATGGCCAGTTGAACTATTTAAAATCTTAAAAGATGATGCTGTTAAGGTGCTACACTCTATGTGCCAGTAAGTTTGGAAAACTCAACAGTGGCCAGAGGATTGGAAAAGATCAGTCTACATCTCAATCCCAAAGAAGGGCAGTGCCAAAGAATGCTCCAACTAC